CAAGAATTATATACCCAGATAAACAGAAATTAAGGGAATTTGTTAAAACTGGACTAACCTAACAAGAGGTGCTAAGAGGAATCCTAGGCACAGAGAACTTACAACAGCAAAAAACATCCAGCCATTAACATACATGATGACATAACCCAGAAACAAACTCAATTATGGAAGTATTGAAAGTATAATAAGCTTAAAAGACTGTAAACAAGGAACCAGGGACATCAATAGGCAAATGAGGACAACTACAGACTAAAAGGAGGGAAAAAATAGTGTAGTTACAGAACTTCTAAATGGTGAGGAAGTCAAGACAATTGTGAGATACAATGGACTGTTCTAAACTTTGGAAGAGGATTATAAATCTTAGGGTAACCATAAAGAAAAATAATAAACCTTTGCATCAAAATTACAAAAAAGACAAGCATATATATCTAGCAAACAATAAAACAAAAGCAACAAAAAAATGATAACACAATTCATAAAAGGTGAGCTCAGCACAAAAAATTATATGGACAAAAAATCAGCAACACCACACACACACAAGTTGTTGTTGGTGTTATGTGCCCTTGAGTCAGACCCGACTCATAGCGACCCCTCCTTGGGTTTCCGAGGCAGTATCACTACAGATGTAGATTGCCCCATCTTCCTTCTGAGGAGTGGCTGGCACACACATACACACACAAACACATAACAAAATGACCAGAGCAAATTCATACTTCTCGGTAATTACACTGAATGTAAATCGATCAAATACACCACTCAAGAGACAGAGAATTGCAGACTGTATAAGAAAATATGATCTGTCAATATGCTATCTAAAAGAGACACACCTAAGAGACAAAGAGAAAAATAGACTTAAAATCAAAGATTGGAAAAAGATATATCAAGCAAATGGCAATCCAAAAAGAGCAGAAGTGGAAATATTAATTTGTGATAAAACTGACTATAAGACAAAGATGACTAAAAGGGACAAAGAAAGACATTATATAATGATTGTAGATCGATAGAACAAGAGGACATAACCATAATAAATATCTATGTATCTAATGAAAGAGCCCCAAAATACATAAGTCAGGCTTTAATGTTGTTGTTGTTGTTATGTGCCGTCGAGTCAAACCCGACTCATAG